GGTGTAGTATGCACGACTTTTGGTTATGTTTTTATGGTGCATACATGGTGTTGGCATGATCATACCATACCAATAAAAATCTACTGGTTGACCTTATGGGTATGGTGCATAGGTCTAGTAGATAGCGGATTGGTTATAAAGTCAAAGGGACTTGCTGGTATGCTCACGCAGGTACAGCATCTATATCTTAGGGGGGGGGGGGTCGACTGTATATATAAGTACAGGTACAACAAGCATCCTAAACTTCAATATACTTTACAATTGAGTCAATCAAACTTTATATTGCTTTGATTTACATCCCTATAACTATTAGCATGGATATGTTTCAATGAGACTCAATTTTTTTTCTCCAAGTTACCCAAGTTACAGGGTGATCACCACCACTAACTCAGAGAAACTGTTTTAAATGTAACACGTGTCATTCATTATTATTGTTGTATGCGAGCAACTTTCATACAATTGTGTCTGCAAAGCTATAGAGAATAACAGCCATTATCATATAAAGCTTTTTACTTACAATTATCTGTGGGAACCTGGACTTCAACCAAAAATAACACAATTTTGTCACATAGTCTGATAATTGTCAACTACCACCCGAGAACATTGCATTTTACATGTTCTCAATGCCGAAAGTGATGCCTTCCCACAATCTTTTGACCTCCTGGCCGTATGCTACTAATTTTAATATAAAAATTGATGACCCGAGGAGTCAGTCATCACCAGCTCATCGTGTTTGTGCTGTGCCACCTATCTGGATTAACTTCATCACTGACCCAAGGGAAAAAATCCCATATTTTATCTCTATTTCCAGGATGGAAATTACCATGTCAAATACCTCATCCTGAACTCCTCTAAAGTGCCAACCTTCTCCCATGTTCCACCATCAAAAAAGACTGAATCTTCTCCTGCCTCTGGTTTACCAGCAGATCAACCAAACTTCAGATATTTACATCTATTCACAATATGATGTAAACTCTCTCTCGCGACTACCTATGGTATATTGGTTAGTTAATTTGACATATTACAATGTACATATCATGTAAACCTTTTTATTTTCAAATAAACAGTTATTTGTTTGTTAAACCCAGTATCTGATCACTTGGGTGACCTAGTTTCTAACAAAAACAATTTGCTGTCACAGCTTCTGTGTCAAATGGGACACAGTTGTGTCATCCTGATGTGGCATCAAAGAGGTGCACATCCTCTGGTCACATACCTATACTAATGTTCCCCAAGATATTTTCCTCTCCTCCTGATTCACCCTGCATAAATGTTATGATATTTGATTAAGTTTCATTTAATAATTTAAATAAGTAGAAAAACAATTTAACATTATAATTACTTTTCTTTAAACAGGAATAAAAAGGTAAAGCTTTTGTTTTTATCTTTTCTCCTTGTTACAAAAATATTACTGCTTCCATAGTATATATAAAACATCATACTAAATAACAAGATATATTATTACAATTAAAGTCAATTAAAGTTAGGTTAACCACTCAGCGGTAACCAACAGATATATCCATCAAGGGCAATTGAGTAGCACTGGTAACTGATGGCAATATCCGCAAAAGAATTTTGCCATCGGTCACCAGTGCTACACAATCACCCTTGACAGATACATTCGTCGGTCGGAATTTTGTGGATATCACCAAAAACTATCACAAAAAAAAATTCACATAAAAAAGGAATTATGTAACATTAAAAAAAGACTTTTCTTTACTAGACATAACTGTTTACAAAATCTTTTTCCGAAATGGTAATGAGAAAAAACGTGTGGGAAAATACTTTAAAAATTTCCCACATTTATTCTCCACTACATACAGATAGCACCATACCTGACTAACTCACTGCAGAAAAGTCAATCTTATAGTATAAAATCTAATAATTTCAATACTTTCAATAAATAGAATAATATGAAACAACATATGCTTTATATATAACTAATAAAACCTTACCTGAATACAATTGGTTTCATCAGGTGTTGCAATAGTCAAGTTTTCATCGTGAAAAATAACAGAAAAATGTTTAGTTAATCCAATTCTAGAATAACCAATAAATTTGGTAAAATCCCATATTATGAGCGTTCCATCAGTTGCTGAGGATAGAATTTTAGATCCATCATTTGAATAAGAAACATATCGTACACATTCAATATGCCCTTTAAAACAAGTTGCTATATTTCTTTTCTCTACAGACCAAACAACCACAGCATTTGTAGATGTTCCTCCAACAATATGTTTATGATCAGGAGAGAGGGCACAACAATTTATAATGTAAGAATCTTTCAGGTTATTAAGCTTCCAATCATGATTTTCATGATTTTCATCAATTTTCCATTTCCAAATGTAACGTCCAGATGAAGAGATCAAATATTTTTCAGAAATAAAGTGACAGGAAGTTACAATACTTGCATCATGTTTAAATGTTTTTATGCATTCCCCAGATGATGCATTCCATAATTTGACAGAATGATCAGAAGAAGCTGTAGCAATATATTTATTGTATGAAAAGCAACAATGATTTATAGAGTTTGTGTGACCTTTCAGAGAATGCAGAATCTTGCCAGATTCAAAATCCCAAACCTAAAAATGTAAAACCAAATTTCTAGTTTGATACAGATTATAAATTATTACATTATTTAAAATTTTCTGGATATATAAATTTGAAGAATAGAAAATAGCATTTGAGTCAAGTTTCATTCAAATCAATATTAAACTTACCAATGCCACATAATCATCACCACCAGAAACTATTTTTGAATCATCTGATGAAAAAGAACAGCATAAAACGGCATTTTCATGACCTTTGTATGTCCTATTACTTTGATCTCTTTCCTCACTTTGCATCAACCAAGTATATGAAAGACGACGTTCACTATTCTTATCAACTAAAACAAGAAATAAAAATTTTATTATGATAATAAGCTAATCATCATATGCTTACTTAAAACTTACAAGAAGAAACTGTCCACAATTTTAGAGTCATATCTGATGATGCTGTCAATAAATATTTTCCTGTAGATGAAAATACACAACAATTTATGTTATCTGTATGCCCAAGGTAATTGACTAGAGGTTTTCCTGAGAGACAATCCCAAATCTAAGAGATGATAAATTATGATTTAATAAATTTCATTTTAAAATAGCAATGTACTCATATATATATAATTAAAATCAAACTCTAGATATATTTTATAATTATCTATTTATACATAATGTGTAAGATTTCAGTTTATCCAAACAAAACCAAATAAAATAGAAAGGTCCAAGTGTAGTTAATGTGGATAAACTGAAACTACAATGAAATCCAGTTTCAAATAACCCACAGCAAATTTTAATATTTTGCATGCTTGAGTTCCTTGATGTCATAGAACTATCTATGCCATCAAGTGAATGTTTAAAATTTAAAGCTTTATCTGTATCACCAATTCACTGATTACAACTGTAAAAATAAAATATGTTTTACATCATCTATCAAACAATAGTATTAAATAGGTAAACTAGCACTATTGATGTAAAATGTACAAAAACTTAATTATATATAAATTATAATTCCATAAGAATCACTACAGAATAAAGTACAATGAAAAAAAATATATTCAATCACATATCAGTTAAACATTAAGCACATCTTTTATTAAAATTAACAATTAAGAGCATTTGAAACAAAATATAGTACCTGCTTTCAACTGTTTCACTTTTATTACTGATATAAATTTTTGATTATGACTGTGTGAAATGTCATGTTTAAATGTTATATTTTTTATCCAACCTTGTTTAGTATTTTATAGTTAAGTACTGTATTTTCAGGAACACAATCTCAGTTTATGTCAGCTTAAGAGAAATATTAGGGTTTGCTTTATGACAATTTGTTACAACAGTGTTCCAGAAATTAATAAAAGCAGAAATATACTTGTGAGAATCTGGAGTTGGGAGATTATTTTATTTAACAAATTTACTTTAAAATGCTACTAATTTTTAGAGAGATTTTTATCTAGAAATTAAGAAAAAGGGAACTTCCTTTTTGTTTTCCAGATGAGGACACTCAGTTCTTCCTAACATGATAGTTTGAGTGTGGCAACTCACTCGACTCTCTACAAAACCACCTGACTTCCTTCTCATGATGAAAGCATGGTGTGATATTCCAGTAATACTATTGGAAATCATTTTGGTATAAAAAGGTAAAAGGTCACCTTTTTACTTGCTTTAGTCTTGTTCTCATTTTGATACTCTCACCTAGTATTCAAGGCTTCAGCCACTGCTATAGTATTGGTGCCTTTGTCAAGTGTCCAATGTTTTAATAATTACTCTCCCAATGCTTCAAGTATGTGTTCCCAAAAATTCTCAACTCTACCTCAAATGTATGGAAACTAGTAATATGATTATCATTTTACGTAAACTCTTTCTCATAGCCTAGACATTAAATAATAGAGGTTTAGAAGTAGACATCTTTGCATTTGATTGTTAAATTTAATCATTCCACTTTATCATCTCCATACATCAGTAAGATAGTTATAATCTCATTTAATAAATAGATATACTCCTAACATATCACATCTGTCAGTTGATTTTACGCCTAATTCCATCATTGTCCCATGTTACCACAAAATGTTCAATTAACAACAAACCCTCCTAAAATTCTCGTCATTTCAGATTATTCTTTAGTCACTCAAAGAAATAAAATACAGTCGACCCCCCTATAACACGAGTTCCTATAGTTCGGATTCCTATATCACGGCAAAAAAATTGCAACAGTATTTGTACAAACATGCTAAACAAACTCCTATAATTCGGTAAACGTCATCGCCGACTCATGTTGCGACAGGATTGCACAAACCGTTGAGTTTAAACGAGCAGTGGACCTACCAAAAACCATTTATTATTTAACGTCCATAAAATTTATATTTATATTAATAATGTTTCTAAAGTTTAGCAAATTTTTCGCAAAAAAAAATAATTTATCAGGAAGCATGTGAGCACCATTTGATGACAATCTCCATGACAAAAACAAGCTTAAGCAACAGCATAGTCAAACTGTGCACACTTGGTAAGTAATCCTACAATTTTTTGTTTATAGCATAGTTTATATGAATTATTCCCAAAAAATTATATGTATTTTGGAAATGTTGAGTCAAATTAGTCTAGAATCGATTAATTTTATGGAAGAAACCTTTCAAACAGCTGTAGTCTGTAAACTGTATACGTGCCAGGCTGTGATTGGCTGGACTCCTAGAAGCTGGATTCATAAAAACAGGAACGTATCTACCGTGTTATAGGGGAGGTCAACTGTAGTTTAATCACATATTAGGATGCAACCAATTTTAATCCTAACTGGTGTCAGGACTGACTCTAAAGATCTTGCTGAATCTCTTAGATAAATTAATCGGACATCCCAGTGAGATGCAAGTTAGATCAGAACCCCCATTTTACATACTGTATAACAGTTTAATTCATTTCAATGAAACTATTGCTTCAGTGTAAATTTCAGATTTATATAATTATGCACATTTGAATTGAATGACAAACAATGCGAGTAAGATTTTCAAAAATTTCATTAAATATATTATTAAATTTAATGATAATATTGAACAATTTATTTCACCTCATATATAATAAGATTTCATTTCAATAAAATAATACTGAAAATTATATTTAAATTTAATTATGCTTAACTAATTATTCCACTTACTCTTATGATTTTATCTTCTCCTACAGAAGCTATAACTTGATCATCTGGACTAAATACAGCACAATTTACTGTACCAATATGTGGTTTAGTACTCAGCAGAACAGAATTTTGAACTTTTGATGGATTACTGTTTCAAAATATATATAAATATAATAAGTAATATTTAAATATTAAAACTTATTTAGAATTATTTACATGGTATCATTATATTGCATCCAATTAAACATACACTTGACTCACCTTCAGGCATTATGCATTAGGAGACTTCAAAATTCAATAACTAAGCACTTTCATTAATTTTACTAATTAACATCTTTAGAGTTAATACTTAGAATCTCAGTTATTAATCAAATTTCATGTTATTTCAATATGTAATACCTGAACACAGTTCAAGTTAAACTAATAATTTGGTGGCATGAGCAATATAACATTTTAATTTGCATTCAACATGTAATTATATCATGAACTTTTCTTACCAAATTTTGTCATTTCAATGTCCAATATTTGTCAACAATAATTTTTTAATGATTTCATTGAAAGGTTAACTTTTCAGTATTATCACACTTATCGTAAAGAAATTACTTAAAATAAATGAAATTTTAAATGTTTGGATTTACACATTGGGTTTGGCCAATTGAACCTTAAAAGTAAAATTGTGTGCATTTTTATGATTTAAGATGTTCATTAAACATTTGAAAATAAAAGTATGCAGAGACTGCAAGTAATATAAAAAGATGTGATTTGGATATGGTAATGAATTGGTAATGAACTGAATGTATGTTATGTACTGTAATAGTGCAATGATAAAATATGACATACCTTAGACATGGATATAATGCAGATTTCAATGCAAGATATTCAATTTATCAAATGGTTAATATCTCCAAATGCAATATATTTTTAATATAAACTTAATTATTTGAAAATATTAGAAATCAAAAAATTTATCATTAAATAAAATTTGTTACAGAATGATATACAATGGTATGATTTTTTACTTTGCTCCATAAGATATACTTATTCTATTATTATTACTGTAAGGTCTCGTTTTATGCAGTGGATACGTTCTACAGAAAAGTGCATATAAAAAATTCGCATAAAAAAAGACTTTACTTGCCTTGAAAAAGTAGGGATACGTTCCGTAATTTTCTAAAATCGCATAAAACCAAAACAACGAGTTAAAATTAACTTAAAACCGCATAAAAAGTTTGCAGAAATTAAAAGAAATAGGCTGCTTAATAAATTACTTTGAATGTCTGAAAGAAATTCATATAAAAGCTTAAAATAAACTTGTATTCAAACTTAATTCAGTTTATTTTATTGAAAAGTAATACAAGGGGAATCCCCGAATTGCAAAAGCTCACTCTAAAAACAAATCACTGACATCTGGATATGAAGAGTTAATTAAACCTTTAGTTCCTCACCCGAGTTAACTCGGGCAGGTTACGTAGCGTTACATAAAACACGGTCCTTAAGGCCATTTTTGAATTTTTTTTTGAATTTTTGGAATGTTTTTTAAGTCTCCAAATGTTTCAAAAATATTTTAAAATATACGGCCAGTTAGTGTTCACCCTACTTTAAGCCCTTGTCCTCCCGCGACGTCTATGAGAATGCCCCAGGAAATCCAACTCCAGCTATGTTCAAGGTCATCCAGATGTGTAAACAATGACTCATCCATGTTAAATTTCACAGAATGGTGAGACAAAGTTAAACTTTGAAGCTTTTCCTTCAAAATTAACGCATTTCTTTCGTTTTTTTCAGTTTTAAGTATTTTTTATGTTTAATAACATTTATATCACAAATTGCTAGGAACTAAAGCGATTAAGGTAGATCTAGCTGTCCTTTACATCCATAAATGTTATATGTCAGTGGAACAAATGGAGTGAGCTTTGAACGTTCCACGATTTTTGGAGACTGTCTATACGCGGGCTTCCTAAACAAGCCTATATGTATGTTTGTCCTAGAAATTTTTGGATGAAATACAAACCACACAACTTCAAAATCACATAAAAATAATCCACATAAAAAGAGACCTTATAGTATGCAGAAATATTTTAGAAGAATACTCTTGGTAATTAAAGGTTATTGAGTCAACTAACAGCTATTGCTGGTAAACAACAAAACCCACACTTGACAGAAACAATAATTACTAAAATCATCACTAAACACCTTTGGCTGTGGAGACACCATTTATTTGCTTATACACTGTTTTCAGCTTAATGCATAGGTCATACTCAGGTGACTGATTTTGGATACCAGTTACAAACTGTTCCAAAATAGGAATAAAGAAGAATTATATTGGAGACACCAGAAGAAACTTTGGGGTTAGACTTAAAGAGCATCAATATAGAGTAAAAACAAGGACTTTTGCAATACAGTACTATCCCAGATTCACAGACTGAAGGGTCTACAGTAAAGTGGAATATGGCAAAGATAGTTAAAACTGTACACTCCCCAATATTGGCACTGAACACTGAAAAAATTAAAATATATAAGAGCAGGTCGAAGGAAAATGTATTAATGAAAAAGATCTGGATAGTTTCCCTGTCAGCATGGAAGTTTATTGTAAAAAAAGAAGCTTCTTTATACAAACTACTAGTTACCACATTTACTAAGATATATAGTAAGACCCCGCTTAATGCTGATTCAATATAACACAGGCAGCTTGAAGCCTAAAAATAGATCAAAATTTATGCTGATTCAAATTATTGAGGCATTTCATTGATTGATATATAATACAATTATTCCCAAACACAAACCAATCAGCAAAACATGGCAATTTATCATAGCACTGTACTTCCCTTAAATTTATGTTTGTTTTGTGCAATTTTGGAAAAAATATATCATTATGGATGCCATAGGAAATATCAACTTCACCTGGCAAGAGTTAACTAATAAATGCATGAATGAAATGTAGAAGAAGTTTTGATTGGAGGTAGAGCCTATTGCTGTATTGTTAGGTTGACCAAATTGTGATGGTCCAAATTTTAACAAAAATTGATCGTCGATGTCATTATACTTGTTTAATAATTGTTGTCATCTACTACCTGAGAGAATCTCCACTTACACTTTCTTGACGGCAAAAACAACGCATTCCCATAACCTGCTGACCTCTTAGACGGGCGATAGAGCTTATAGCATAATTAACAGCCGAAGAGTCAGTCACCATTTTTAATCTCCACAACTCAAGATGATATTGCCTGTTCCTCCAGGAGTAAGTCATCACAAATTTGTCCAACTCGTAATCGTGTCAGTGCCCAATCCTACCCAATTGGATATCTCACCTACCTGCAATTTGAACATCGCCTACAAGTGTGCCTTCAAAGACAAACTGTTGGTGATTTAGAAACTTTCCTGATGATCCTAAACGAAATAACTTTAAGAGCCTGTCATCCTAGTCACAATGAAACTTCTACTCCATCCCATAGGACACCCTCTATTCCATGTATTTATCAATTCACAAACTACTGTAAACTCTCTCTCTCACAACCACTTTTGTTTAAAGATCCCTTGAAATTAAGGCTTAATGAACTGTAACAAAATTGTAAATTGTATCATGTTGTCTCTGTAATTAAATTGTTATTAGTTGTTAATGGAGTATCAGAGTGATTCACTTCTGGTCGCTGTCTCTCAATCTGTCTCCATCCCAAATCCAATTGCCTGCGCACGTGGCAGCTCACATGACCTACGTCGAATCCAAATCAACAAACAGTCTTGGCTTCTGTGTCAAACAAGACATGTTAGTGTCAGTCCTGATGAGGCACTAAAGAGGCGCCGATCCTCCAGTCACAAAATTGTCAATCTAATTGATACAGGAATAGGAGATGTAGATAGATGAGCAGGATATTGAGAAGTTACTGCAAGTTTCTAATGAGATCCTTACCAAAGGCGACATTCAAGAACTGGCAGAACAAGGAATTCATGTGGAACTGGAAAATAAAGATTCTGAAAACGAAGAACCCAAAGAATTTCTCTACAGATTTCCTCAGTAAAAGTTTGGTAAGATAACCAAAATCATTGATCAAATTGTAGCAAATGATCCAGATTTTGAAAGGAGTGCAAAAGCAAAACGTGGCATTTTGGATGCAATCTTCTGCTATCGACATTTGCTAAGGAAAGAAAAAAAAAAGGATAAATGAAACTTCACGACTTTATTGCAAAAAACAAGAATTTCAGAAAAGCCAGAACCTTCATCACAAACAAATGAACTTTAGATTTCTCTATGCATATGTTTGTGTTATTTAACATATTATGCAAATTAATATAAAAACAACTTAAAATTATGGTAAAATCTGTTTATTTTTGGTCACATATTCACCTTTCCCTATTTACTGTATGTTAAAATGGCCTCGTTTAACGCTGTTTCGTTTAGCACTTTGTCATCTGGGAACGCATCATCTGCATTAAGTGGGGTCTTACTGTATTTAATTTAATATATATAATTCTTAAAATTAAAGTAAAAATTTTTTAAATTTTTGGTTGTGTTCCTCAATCCCTATTTACTCTATGTTAAAATGACCTCATTTAATGCTGTTTCATTTAGCACTTTGTCATCTGGGAATGCATCCCCTGTGTTAAGTGGGGTCTTACTGTACACTACTAATATATTAAGAGCAAAAATAAACAAACAAATTTTATTACATTCAATTTGTTATTTTCATAAACTGAAACTCTGTTTATCAGAAAAAAGAAATAAAAATATAATTATGAGATCATTCATACTTTTTTCTTTCTCCATAATGTGAAATCTGAATTATATACTGGAAAACACAAACGTAGTTTGCTAGAATAACTATCTTCCAAATGTTCAAGAATGCCATTAGCTATAGCTGTAAATCCATTATAACCATCCATCAAAACATGAAAACCCTAGGAAAAAATTATGTATTTTAATATATTATTTCTTCTATCTTAGAACTTTAAACATTAAAAAAAAATCACCAAAAACAAAAAATTNATTAAAATTTAAAATCTCTCACACAAGTCACCATCTTATCAAGGTGACAAAGCTCAGTCGTTACAATGTACCATAAAGCAATGCTGGTGAGAGCATAAGCTTCCACTAGGGCCACCTATACCAGTAAGGTCTATGGGGAGAAATGAAGCAAAACAGCAATTTGACCCACAAGTAATATCTGATATTGGGCAACTGATTAACACTGTTTCCATGTCAGGGGCAGCTGAATTATAAAAACTGGCTTTAGATACATACGCGCACACACTTCTGTGGAGATATCCCAAAAATGACATCATCAAAGACCCTATACAATATAGACCAATCATGTGCCTTCTTACAATCTAAAAAGTACTCACTTCATGCATCATAAAATACACCCTCACAAAGAACACAACAACATTCTCAAAACAATAAAGACTGTCATAGAAACCAAATGGTATGCAAAGAACAGATGTTCCAAGAGTCAATCATTCTACAATAAGAATACAAACAACAAACTTACATATAGCATACAAAGATTACAAAAAAGGCATTCAACATTACCACACACTCAGTTATTATATTCACTATATCTACAAAATACATCCGACACATGTTAATTTTTAGAAAACACAATGCAACACTGGAGAACACTACACCCTAATCTTCATTACACATACATCAAAACAAACTAAATACACGAGGTATTGAATTTTCCAGATAATTCATTAAATCCACTTGCTTTTGTCTGGCCTTTAAACCCAATATCCAATAGGTTAAACAACACTAAATATAGATACATCAAACAACAAAACACAACGGATATTTCATCTCATGTACACAGATGATAAAACTACGCATCTACACAAGCACAGCTAAATCGCTTATAGGCTACACTCACTTACTCCATTAACAGTCAAAAGGGGTTTGACTTAGACAAATCCCATAGAAAAAGAAATCCTGAAAAAAAAGATGATTTTATATTCAGAAATGGAGACATCACTGAGTTCATAGATGAGGGTGAAGTCTACAAATACTTAGAATTCAACACGTCAAACTCACAGAACATGTACAAATAAAACAAAGACTAACAAAAGAATATAATAGTAGATTAAACTCAATATTAACAACAGCTGAATGCAAAACACACATTTAAAGTATTCAACACATACATCATCCCAATACTGACATTCATTTAGAGTTACATATTGAACACACACAGAACTACAACAATCCCAAAGAAAAGCACAAATATTAACAAAACACAACAAACTAAGTTGTCCATAAAAGGGCTGATTCTTCCTTGTAAAGAGAGGACAAGACCTCAAACACTAAACCTGAACTACAAACAAATGTTTTCTACAGAGAATAAGAAACATCACAATTATACAAAGCAGCAATCTTGCAGACGAAAACAGTACATCATGAAACTTACACAACACCAACATGGATATAGCACAATACAAAAAAAAATGCACAGATGCAATCAGGTAGTCTTGGACTTGGAAGGAGCTCCATGGTAGGCACCCAATCTCAATCAAATTCATATTAACAGAACTTCATCAAATTGATTAATGGATGCCTATTTGAAGAGATGAAAGATATCATGATTAAAATTACCTTCTCAATTACAATTGAATTATTAAGCACAATCAACAAAACCTTTAACATCCAGTAACCAAATTTTAATGTAAAAATTGATAAATGTTTTTGATCTTAATTAAACAAGATCTGCATCAGGTCAACAATAATATTCTAAATTGGAATGCACAAAAAAACTTTTTGAAAAGTTGTGTTCTGCACATTCCAATTTAGAATATTGTTGTTGACCTGATGCAGATCTTGTTTAAGATCAAAAACATTTATCAATTTTTACATTAAAATTTGGTTACTGGATATTAAAGGTTTTGTTGATTGTGGGTTCATGATTGCAATACAAGACTAGGACATACATACAAGAAATCACAGAAACTACATTTTAAAGGACAATACTCACAGATGACACCTATAGAAAATGCTATTTCATGCATAAGACAATATAACATATCATATCACATTGTAAGTAGTCTCTGTTAAAAGCTTGCATCAACACAACAAAGTAGCAAATATAATAAATCAAAAGCTTTTCCACAAACACAAACTTCTACAAACTCAGGAACCATACTACAATACACACTTTTATCACAGACTAAACAATCTATAACAACAGATCAAACATTGCATTCAGTAACCAAGAAAACAAAATCACATACATCATAGACATAGGTGTACCACAATATACAAAATACTTGCATGAAAAAATTAGTAAATATCCACAAACTCATCCATGAAATAAAGCATCTTTGGAGAATGACTGAAGTATGTATTAAGCCAGAAGTCCTTTCTTGCACAGGACTCACACCACATACATTACACAAAAGTCTCAACACTAATGCTTTACAACAGCACATACATCATTCTACAAAAGGCTCCCACACTAAACACATGTAATATAGGAAATTTTTAAACACATATACCCCATACAGTAAGTAAACAAAATATTTGTTTTCTGTAGTTATGCCTTAACTTCGATCTGGCATAACACTAAGCACCAGTATATATGCCATGTAGGATACATTCCAACAACATTTCTTAATAATAATAATAACTAGTACTTAAATATACCACCACCAATATATAAATTTACTTACCACCATTCAAAGTAAGGAATATTACGTTCCATTGAAATAAGTTTTGCTTTTTCATAAACCACAGAATTTTTTGGTTCGCATAGTGCAAGTTGAATAATATCAACATTTTCCTTGTTTACAAGGTGTGTATTGTTACTTATAAATCTTTCAAAATCTTTTAATTCTTTCTGTAAAAAAAATTATTTAAATATAATAAAACATTGTTAACTATATTATTTCTCTAAACTTTAAGAAATATCTTTATAAGATGAAATAAATTTATTCAAGAATATATTTAATAAAAAGCTATGTAATAAAACATGAGAATTGCAATCCATAATCATAATCAGACTGTCAAAAATCTAAAAATTTTTAATATTCTTGGATAAACTAATCCTTCCAAAGTTACTATTTATAATTCTGTCACAATATACAGTCAAACTGATATAACAGCAGCAGTTACAACAACAAAATATTCATGGTCTAGCTAGAGCCCTATACTTTAACATTACATTTTACCCTGATTAATGATATCAAAACTCAGTTATAATTAGTGATGGAGCAATTAATCAGTATCAGGAATCAGGCATTTTCCATCAATCAGAATCAAGCAAATCTTGTCACAATTTCCAATACCTAAAATGATTCTTACACATTTAATAAGAAAACTAATTATTTGTTTCAGTTAAAGATCAAAAAGTTTTAAAATTACAATATTAACAATTAAGTATTAAAATTTATTGGAAACTTTCATCTTTAAATTTTCGTCAGATGGAGATTATTTTTTAATAAAATTGAAGACAGTCTGCCCAAAAGGGACCACCATTTATTATTTCTGTGTTCCAGATGATATACATTCTTGGCAACTGACCTTTCCTTTTAGGCTACTTGTTGCCAGAAGTTTAAAAAGTCCTTTTAAATTAATTAATTAATTAAAAAACACAAAATATATATCCAATTAAAATTACAAATAATTTCTAAAAAAGGAACTGGTGACATTCAGACGTCTTTCTTACATCCATCATACCTTCGTTTGGGGTGTTATTGCATTTATCTACTAAAAAAAAAAAAACACTGGAAAATGTAGATTTGATGAAAGCTGCCCCCTGGTGACAATACATGTAGATTTTCATTTGTAAATTTTCGTCAGATGGAGATTATTTTTTAATAAAAGTTGCCAAGAATGTGTATTGCCTGGAACACAGAAATAATAAATGGTGGTCCCTTTTGGGCAGACTGTCTTCAATTTTATTATGGAAACTTTCATGTCAACAAAGCAAAGAGTATGCAATACCCCATACATGAGGTGATATCTGTTGGGGCGGACTTTAGTTAAGCAACAAACCTATTATAACAGCGATAGACAGAGCAAAGACAAAGCTATACCAATAGAACTATAAAACAATCAGGCAAATTTACAGGCAATTAGATGAACTAAGACGGCAGAGAAGTCAAACAGAATTCCCTAGGCAGAGGCAACAACACTAAAAACATATAGGGACCTATTCAATGACCCAAAAACATAATAGGTGGTATGCGAAATCAACCATGAAATTCTTGACACAGACCAAAACAGCAGATACAGTGATACAAGAGGAGAGCCAACAGAAACTGACGAAATTTTAGAGGCAATTTTAGGCAAGAGAAAAAATACACCCTCAGTTAGAATATCTAGATTCAATGACACAACAACTCATTGTAATTTCAGAGCGCATGATGCGGAGCCTGTATTACATTGTCTCATTGATGACGTAGCAACCCGATTAGCCATAGATACAGGCTCCAAAGTGACACTGCTGTTGAGATCACTGGCATACAGATTAGGCACCTTCAAAAGGAAAAATAACAGGAGCGACATACTATTCCGAAGAGTCATCGGACACAGAATCAACAACTATGATAAAAACAATTTCCTATTCCAAATCGGCTCCTTGCAATTTTCCTACCAAAGCTATATCATAGACGATGAAATTACACAGCCTAATATGAAGTGACATAATAAAAGATCAGGGGTTAGAAATAAACATAGTGACAGAAATAATAAAACTCCCCAATGGAAAAGTTTTAAACTTCTGAGACCCTTCTACATCAATGGGAAAAACAAAACAAATCCAACTGAAAAAAAACCTGACCAATAAAGAAATCATCGTCCAAGTAGTCCAAATAGGGAAACCCATTTCGCTGCAACGCTACAAGGAAGTGATAGGGAACTAACACAAAGAAAAACTGCCAACTCTGAAAAATCAAAGGCACATGGAGAGGAACATTAAGAAATTGGTCCATCAGAAGGACAATGAAATCAAATTCATCTCCCCTAACAGAAAGGAAAGAAAAATAACAGATGAACCTGAACCAGAGATAAATTGTGTATCAACACACATGGAAGCAACCAATAAGCAGAACCGAAGTCCTCCAGAAGTAGATAGCTGGCAAGAACAAACAACTAAGCCCAATCAACGAATAGGTAGATTAATTACAGCAGTGGTTCTCAACTGGGATAACATGTACCCCTAGGGGTACAAGCGTAAATCAAAGGAGTACATCTAACTTTCATTATAAAATGGCGTATGTTAATCAATTCGCTGTAAATTATTAACACAAGAAACAAGAAACGACAAAAACTTGCTTTAAAATATTCAAGTGTGAACACCGATTTATTTTTTAACAGTCTAAACAACTTGTTTATCCACTTGATTTGCCTGCCTATTTGTGTCATTAGTGCCGAGTGAACCTGTAGTCTAGTAAAATTACGGTTTAATCGAGCATTAATCGTAAAAAAAAAATTTTTTTCTTCTATTCTATAATTATTGCTCGTCAAGATTGGGGCTTTTCATGTTTTTACTGGACTACTGGTATTAGGAATAATGAGGCCTAGATTGTACCCCCATCATGCAATGTGTGTCACTGCATGCGTGCATTACTTGATATTTAACAAATTTAGACATTACATTTGTTACAAAAATTGAAAGATTCATGTATTGTTCTGCACATTACAAATTCGCAGCCATTACTTTCAAGGTCAGTACACAGTTATAATCTCTATTTAACAATGTGGGAACCAAATTTTGAAAAAATTACGAAAGATTTATCGCAACAAATATCCCATTAAATTTTGTTAGAAATTATTGTAGAATAATTTAAATTTTCTTTACTGTTAATTATTATTATTTATTTTTAGAAAATGTAATTTATGCATGTATTGAAATGACTTCTCTGGTTTTATATAATATACTACTGCTCTGCAAGACCCGAAATTAATTCGGGCAGTTGAAAACTTCACAAAATTTTGACTGAAACATGATGAAAAAATTTAAAGAATTTTCCATCATTTTATTATACAATAACAACTGAACCAAGTTCTCAAATTAAAAAAAAAGAAAAAGAAAAATCAAAAATTAATCATTAAATTTTCTTTCATCTTAATTTAAAGCGTATTTTAGTATTATATAAAACAGCTAGTTTTATATAATACTAGCTGTTACCTGCAACTTCGTCCATGGAGGTTTTGCAAGCAAACCCCATTCACATTCAATATTTCAACAACCATAGTACATAATTCACAATGTTCAATGTTAACTCAGGATATTCTTCAATATTTTAATTCTTGAAGTTAGACTATTTACAAAAATATATTAATGATATTTAATGATAGACTCGAAAATATTAATATATTTTTGTAAATAGTCTAACTTCAAGAATTAAAACCATAGTAATTGTTATATAACACCTACTGCTGAATGATGAGAATTGCTGAGAATCAAACAAACTATTTTCAATTTGATCAATTTTTTGGAACGTTTACAATCGTTCTATAATCAAACCAATATGCAATAACAAATTCGAATTTAAAATGGTTCGAACATTTTTAAAATCGAAATAGATAAAAATATTTATAACAATGTCTGAAATGTTATCAATTTAATACACTTAAGTACTCAATGAAGACTAAACGTAGTTGAAAACAAAAAATCTCATTTAAATAGTACAGTAGAAGATGTTCTTCCGGTTAAGCCTTAATCCTCTCCCTATCCCCCCATTGGGGAATTTCAAAAAAAATCCCTTCTTAGTGTGCATTCCCATGGCATACCCTACTAATACACAGATAAAAACAAAAAAATCGCATCTAAAATAGTACAGTAGAAGCCGTTCTTCCAGTTAAGCCTTAATCCTCTCCATCTCCCCCCGGTGGGGGAATTTCGAAAAATCCCTTCTTAGTGCACGCTTTCATGACGTACCCTAACTGAGTACCAAATTTCACCTCTTTAGGTTCAGCGGTTTGCTCTGGGCGATGATGAATCAGTCATTCAGTCAGTCAGTCCAAGTAATTTTATATATTTAGATACTTGTCAAATAATAATAAATAAATGCATGTACCTGATTAAATTGATTATTATTTACGTAAAATAACTAATTCACTTTTAGTTATAGTTAGTTAGATAGAGGTTTTTTTTTTGCACTCAGGTATAAGTGCTGTATACATCTAATGCAGTAATTATAAAATTTACATACAAAAATATAAGGGGTACTTGAGAAACAACTAATGGGCTAATGGGGTACATCAACAAAAAAGGTTGAGAACCACTGAATTACAGTGTGAAAATCTGACTCTCTTGTGAGAATTTTAATTAACTACGGCTACCTGTCAACTAGGGTTTCTCAAACGGGATTCCGGGATCCTGGTTGTTTTTTTAACCCGGGAAATATCCCGGAAAATTTTTCTTATCCCGGGAAATCCCGCAAATTTCTTAAAAATTCACTTTTTTTCTTATTTTGTGTTAAGGTTGAGGAATTTTGCAAATAGAAAGCATAATTAACTCATTCACTGTCAGAATACATTTGTATTTATTAATTTTAAACCTACCTATTAGTTTTTTTTAATTTTTGCTCGTTATAGCATGTCACAAATGGTCAATCAATATATAGCTTATTTGTGGCAGGACTATAAAAATTCTTTACTTGTCAGAACCTGTAATATCTGAAATAATTGTGCTTACGCTGTCTTGAGTTTTAACCATGCCCAGTAGCTTCAATAAATGCCTGACGCCAGATTGTGCAAATTGGGCAAGGATACAAACGAGTACAAAGTCTGCAAGTATGAAGTTTTTCTTCATAAACCTGATTATTAAAGCCAAATGAATTGCCGAATTATCGAGCTCTAAGCTTGATGCCGCTATTAAAGCAGCCAAGGTAGACAAATCAAGAATACTAGAGAGCGAAAGAAGTACTACAATCTCGAAAACGAACTCGAAATCTTCCAGGCTACAGGTGAAAAAACACATAATATCTGTCTTCTCTTAAATGCATTAAACACTATTCCAATCACATCAATTGAATCGGAAAGGGCATTCTCGGTGGCAAGACTTTTCATTACTAAAATAAGAATTAGAGTGAGTTATCGGAGTATTGACCATCTTTGCTTTTTAAAATCTTATAAAAGTTTGCAATATTTTGTATTATATTTTATTTAAAAAACGAAAATTACCTTCTAAATTAGAAGTTCATTTTTTTAATTTTTAACTCAATTCAAAACATTTTTTTTGTTGTTGTTGTATGCAGTTTCCAGCAAACTTTAATTAATTTTTTTCTATTTGTGAAAATTTCTACGTTATTTAAAGGTAATTTTTATTATAGGCCTATAGACCTTACACAGCATTATTAATATGATTTTGGAGGTTACAGAACTTTAAAATTAATTTAAAAAATGGAAAATAATTATATCATTTGATTTCAAGATATTTTGTATACCTTAAAAATAATTAATTCTATCACGGAATTTCCCGGGATCCTGGGAAACAGTTCACTTTTATCCCGGGATTCCGGGACAAGCAAAAGACCGGGAAATGAGAAACCCTACTGTCAACATACAACTTTGTTCCGTGGTTGATTGGAGTTCTCATGGGGAGGTTGGATGTATGTTTCTTTCATCATTATTTCTGTTATTTCTCCCGTTATCACCCCGTTGCCCGAGGAATAGACCCTGGACAATGAAGTGCGTAGTTACTGGAGATGACCTTCTTGATGGACAAAGTCGTCCGAGGCGACCGCGGAAGAAATCCCCTCTCCTCAGGAGACTACTCTATTACAAGGTGTCTGCGGTGTAACCAATTAACGAAAACAAACATATGTTCCTGTGGCAAGAGTGGACACAAGGTCACCTACTAGGATCAACTGTACGGTGAGAAACATTACCAAAAATGGTCAGTCAGGTGATGACGAATTTAATAATAATTGGTCGAGTGATGTCTTTAGTGTCGTCACCCATGACGGGGGAGACTGTCATAAATCGGGAGAACTGACATATTGCGTCAACGGAGTCCCTGAGACTTCCCACGCTAAAAAAGTATAAAAGGGGAACAATCTGAGGACTCGAGGCGATCGTCGGGGAAGAAGACTACAAGTGCCTACTCTACTCTGGGAGGACCTCGAGGTTTCTGATCGCCGATCTAAAAGAGGTAAAGACTTAGATTATTTTTCTTCTTCCCTCTCTCTCGATATACTTGGGACTTAGAAATTATTCGTCTCTCGATATACTCAGGACTTAGAAGATAGTCTTTCTATTTGTACTCGGGACTTAGAAATTATTTGCTCTGTTCCTTTTTGGTAGGACTTAGAAATATTGGGTCGAGGACCTTCGGCGGTCCCACTTACGGGATAGACGGACATCGGTTATCCGATATTGTCGTGATGTGGAGATATTATCATTACTATTTACTTATTTTTTGTTTAACTTTAATGTATTTTCATGTATTTGTATTATTTGTTTTATAATTAAATGTGTTATTCTTAAATTTTATGACTATCTTTGTGTACTGCAGACACCTCATCGCAACTTCATTACGCCTCCCACTCCTTTTTGCCCTCCTATAGCCATTCTCTGACAGCCAAGCCAGTAAGTGGGGAGAAGCTCTCCGCTTCAGCCCCCTCGGTTGCGACAACAGTATGGAGAACTGTCAACATTATCGTAATCCTCCTCACCATGATGCTCACAATTTTATGCTCCCAATTTTTCTGATATTCGTATGCTCCAAAGAGTCAATGTCCCCGCCAAATCCGAGAACCTTACATGCAATGCCAACTACAAAACTATATTCGCTGCAAAGCATATCAGTAAGAATATCCTCCTCTGCCTATACAAATAAAGTCAGACTAAAGACAACCATTTCCCGTGTCGAGTAGACAACGCACAAAGCACTTGTACAATAGAAACAAGAGAGAGTAAATTGGGAAATCAAATTGTCTGAAATAACTAAAAATTTGTCGTCTGAATGAAAGATTATGAAATGCAATTGTATCGGATTGCAATTGCAATTATGAAATCAATTTATATCGGGTTATAGGCTAATATAAAATTGCATCAATGACATTTTAATGTTGACAACCGCATTTTGTTGATGTTACAGTGAGAGAGAGAAAGAACCTTTGATTTGGTGATTAAACTAAGACACATTTAAATTGTAATTAATACTTGATAAATACTTTTATAAAACTTTTTGCAAGTTTATTAATTAAAAGTCACGAGTTATTCTATGTGATGTCATACACAATATTTAATTATTTTATTTTGATGTAACCTCATCTTTATGAACATGTTAATATAACAAATTCCTTTACTGTACTCAACTGAGAGAGAGTAATCCTGTTTGTCAATCTGTTTGCTGTCTAACCAACAACCAAAATCAAACTTGCACTTTTAAGAATAAGCACGATTTTAGAAAACCAAGATGATGTGAGAGTCAAACCAGATGAATATTTTGAGAGAAAATTCATTTTTCGTCTTTCGAAGTAAATGGGTTCCAGTGAAAAAAAAAGGAGATGGAATTTTTTTTTCAATTTTATTACTGGAGGATGATCACATCTCTCTCCCTGGAGTTGTTTCCTTTCCCAGGGAACTCAAATGTGTCACTGGGAACTAATAACAAAAATTCACTATTGGTGAAAAAGGATAATGTGGCTTGAGGATATAAAAAAAAGTGACTCAAGGATGAGGGGTAACATGTAGCAAAGGATGTTGCAAATATCTCACAAAGTCACTACTTTTATTTAAGCATTGGCCCCAGCATGGTGGTAAGAGGTAAATCAAAATATTTTTGGATCACATATGAAAATACAGTTCATAATAATTTATATAAATATTCCTATGTTGTATTGTCATAATTTTAAAAAATATTGTGGTTTGCCAAATTCTTATATATTTAAAATTTTGAGCTTAAAATGTTATAGCAAATGTTCATTATATTACATATAAAACATCATTATTATTTTTAATTGAAGAAATTTAATTTTATTGACATTTCAATTTTAAACTATCGAAACTTTGAACTTTCGGAATTTGAATTAGCCATTAATTTTATATTTTTTCTGTAAACTTTAAGAACTATAGAAACAGCTTTAAGTTGTATTGAATAAAATATTTAAAAACATAATAAAGCCAAAACCATTAAAATTTTCTTACCTTATTGTTAAAATAATCTCTATACACACTATAATCATTTAAAAGATCACTTGGACCAGCAAACTTTAGTTTATTTTCTACAAAGTTTAAATCTAAAAATATTTTCTCAAGACGTTCATCTTGTGCATTATATAAATGATATGCGAGAAAATAATAAATATATTTGTCATCAGGAAGTAATCCATAGTTATAGTTGTTCTTATCTACATGGCATTTTTCTAGATATTGATTTACAAAATTTTGGTGCAAAGCCTATGAAAATAAAATTCTCTCTTAGTGATATTTAATAAATAAATATCAAATTATTTTATATGTATGTATTAAAAAACATTACAGTATTTTCATAGTTTACCTGTTTATCTTTGCAATTTTCTTTAAGATAATCTAAATGTAAGTCATGAATCCAGTAAACGTGCGAATTTTTATTTTCTATTATTCGTGCAAGTGACTTTTTATTAAATTCATACATTATATCTTCAACATCAAATTTGTCTTTATCCCACTGAATTTCAAGAACCTTTAAATAAAAATATTGATAAACATATTGAAATAAAAAAGTTTAAACAATCTCAAATTATCTCATCTAAGTTTGTCAAACAATCTAGAAAATTGTAGTAGTTAGATAGGATCAAGAAGATATTAAATTATGAAAAATTAGTCAATCACCAAAATAGTTATTTTCTGAATGTTTGTATTATAATGAATAATATACTTTAATGTTGTAATTATATTATCAATTTATAATGCTATCTTCAACAGAAAATAAATTGAATAAATTTATTAAATAGACTATTTTGAAAGTGGTGCAAGTCCATTTTTTCTACTTTCGAGATATTTAATAGGTCTACAAGTTTTTTAAATTGCAGCCCAAAAATTTTTCTATAAATGCAATATTTACAAGAACATACATATAGTTTATACAGTCTGTTATCAAAATTTAAACACTATCATCACATAAAGCAATTATTCTCACACTTTTACAAGATTTTTTTATTTATTTAAACAATATGAAGTCTTTCGGACGTTAAAATTAACAACTTCAATGACATGCAAGGCCATCAAAACCTGCCCACTTCACTTTTCAAGTATTAATAGTACTGTAGATCAGTATTAATTAGTAGTCATTCCAGGATTTCTTCCAGGAGGAGGTCAACATCTACTTTTGGTCAAATTACTTTGACCTCCTTTCTCAATGGTTCCTTCTTTCTATCAGATCAGCAGTATAGTGACATTTGAATAGGAAAATTACATAATACAAGATCATCAGTGTGCACAAAATATGTTTTAAGTGGTTTTTCAGGGTGCCAAGTTTAAATGTTTGTAAATAATACTAACAAAACTTTCAAAATATACCAGCAAATATAATTTAATGTAAAGATGCTATGACAAATATTTTCAATCTGAACAGAATCTGCTTCAGGTCAAAATTTTCAATAGAATTAGAATGCAATTAATATAATAAATTATATTTGCTGGTATATTTTGAAGGTTTTGTTAGTGTTATTTACTAATGTACAATCAGCTTTCAAAAGTTTTAAATATTTGGTCTGTTTTTTGCAAAATTTGATTTGTTGGCAGATTATCATTTGATATTCGGCTGTGAATGGTAGTTTCTTAGAGTTAACATTACAAAAAAATACAATATCTGAAAAAATTTAATATACTGTATCTTATTTTCAATTGGTGTCCACTTGGCCAATGAAATTGTGCCATTTCTTACCATCCAAGTATTGCTATAAATATGACAGTGGTAGGCTGAAATAACCAAACTCTATATGGTTTTCATTTTAATGTTTCTTATATTATAGTATTTGATTTATTTAACTACAAAGGTTATCTTACGTAAGGGTTTATCACACCATGTACCCAATCTAACACATTTTTAAAATGTTTAAATTGTGTACAATAGAGAAATAAAACATTTTAAAAATGTGTTAGATTGGGTACATGGTGTGATGAACTCTTATGTAACCTTTGTAAATATAAATTAAATGCTATAATATAATATAATAGATTAAATTAGAAATTTTATAATATAATATTCTTCTTCTTTATGTGTCTTCTCCTGTCAGGAGGTTGACAACCATTTCATGCCACCATGACCTATCTTGTGCTTCTCTTGAGCACTCTTCATATGTTAAGTATGTCCAATTCCTGATGTTGCTGAACCAGTTCTTTCTTGGCCTACCCCTACCTCTTTGCCCTTCTATCATTCCCTCTAGTAATAGTTTTTGTAGGCTGTTGTGTCGCATAACATGACCCAGATATCTTAGAAGTATGAAATAATCTAATAACTTTAATCTTTGCTATTGTTACTTTTTGCCCAAGCAACTTTAGGCTCATCTACTAGTAGTGAATATATTTCTATGACTTACTTCATTTGGAATTCCAATATCTTCTTTGAAAGCAGCAAAAAGTTTATAATAGTCTTGCATTTCTTCTGATAAATCTTTAACACTAATATCAATAGCCTGAAGCAGATTCTTTTTATCATTAGACAAATTTCTAATACGACCAACCCTTCCTTCTTCAAGCATAGATCTGTATTTCTTCCAACGTTCTTCTTTATTTCCATGTGTTTGCATAATACTACCTAACATTGCTATTGCCATTGGTGAACCTAAAAAGGATCCATTTGAAATTTTAATCACTACTAAGACATCAATATTTATAAAATTTGTAAAAATTCTAAAAATAAATCATCTTATTTCCAGATTAAAAACAAGTAAAATTACTCTTTCTTATCCAACTGAGTGATTCAGTTAAGCAGACAAACAAATAACAAAGAAATACTAAATTTTAATTACCAATAACTCCATTTTCAATGAGTTCACAAAATCTAAATGCATTTTGCTTACAGTAAAGCCTCATTAGTGGACATAATGAACTAACAATTGCTGTTCTTTTTATGCTGGGTGATTTTTTTCCAGCATGCATCTACATTCATTCTGGTATTCAGATTTATCACATTTGCATATGCTACAATACAAAAATGTTCTATTGTTCTTCTTTTAAAACAATTTTCTACTTTATATAATATTTTAACATTATTCCTGTCTATTTTACAATTAAATTTATTACAATGTAGACACTATAGCAATTCTTATCTTTTTAACCTAATAGCAGCTTCATGTTCTTTTAACTGTGTCTCTAACTTTAATAATGTAAGAGAACCAAAATTAAATTTTAGACTCAAGACTCAGAAACCAGGAAACATTTTTAGACCTTTAGTGGATTTTAAGAAATCTATTTTATATAATCTTGAATGTTATTTAAAAACCTACTTACAGGAATTAGATAAATCAGCTTATGGCATACAGAATACAGATGAATTGATCAATGGATTATTAAAAGATAAAATTAAACAAAATTTTTGTATTATGAGTCTTGATGTTAAATCGATGTATCCATCTATTACTTTAGAAATGATTAAAAAAACTATTAAGTATAAAATGCCTGAGCACATATTAAATCTTATAGAATTTGTATTTAAAAACAATTGTTTTAAAAACTGTACAGACTATTACTGACAAGGAAAGGAATTGCTACGGGATTAGTTGTTGGACCAAAATTGACTGACATTTGTATGATACCAATAAATGAAAAGATATCACAGGTTCAAGGTATTCAATATTATGCACGATATGTAGAGGATATGCTGACTATATATCGGGTGGGCAAGCAAGAGTTCAGTGGGAGCCGAAATGTAGGTTTTGCGAAATGCATGGGAGCCACAGTTCTGTACTTTTTATTATATAATATAATTAATGTTATAGTATCNATATTATGCACGATATGTAGAGGATATGCTGACTATATATCGGGTGGGCAAGCAAGAGTTCAGTGGGAGCCGAAATGTAGGTTTTGCGAAATGCATGGGAGCCACAGTTCTGTACTTTTTATTATATAATATAAATATAATATAAAACAAATATTGAATTTTTTTGATAAATATATTTTCACAAAATTGTGGAAATAAAATTGTAAAAATAATAAAAAGCAGAAATTAACACTTTTTCAGCAAGAGCTGCATTTGCCCATGTCTGTTATATATGATTCACAAATAATTTCACCTGAAGACATTGAAGAATAAATTCCTATCCAACTTATTTGCATTAAGTTTACAAGTGAGGAAGAACAAAACCAAGAAATGATTTTTTGGATATTATGAAAAGAGAAGATACCAAGATTTTGTTCCGTAAGTACAAAAAATTATGCAATACAAAGAAAACTATTATTTACAATTCATATTGCCCTATAGAAACAAAGAACAACATATTTATAATGGAATTAAAGAAAATATTAAATAGAACAACACTACAGGAAGATATAAAAATAGAAACAAGACAACTCTTTAAAAAATATTTATTAAATGATTACCTAAAGAATACAGTATGTAAGTGGTATAAATATTATATAAATCGTAGATATAAAGTTAAGAATCAAATAACAATTTATAATGTTAAGTTTCCTTATATAAATAATTTATTTGAAAAATATAAACCAGTTTAAGAAATTTTTTGTGTGTATAGTGGCAAAACAAAAAAATATGATGAATGTAATTAATGTTATAAATAACGAAGACCCAAATATATCGAAAAACCAATTTAAAGTCGCAGGTGTTGTTTACAAGCTATCACGTACTTGTCCAAGATCAACATATTACATAGGAGAAACAGGAAGAAAGTTAGAGACACGGTTAAAAGAACATGAAGCTGCTATTAGGTTAAAAAGATAAGAATTGCTATAGTGTCTACATTGTAATAAATTTAATTGTAAAATAGACAGGAATAATGTTAAAATATTATATAAAGTAGAAAATTGTTTTAAAAGAAGAACGATAGAACATTTTTGTATTGTAGCATATGCAAATGTGATAAATCTGAATACCGGAATGAATGTAGATGCATGCTGGAAAAAAAAAAAAAAAAAACCACCCAGCATAAAAAGAACAGCAATTATTAGTTCATTATGTCCACTGATGAGGCTTTACTGTAAGCGAAATACATTTGGATTTTGTGAACTCATTGAAAATGGAGTTATCGGTAATTAAAATTTAGTATTTCTTTGTTATTTGTTTGTCTGCTTAACTGAATCACTCAAAATCGGATAAGAAAGAGTAATTTTACTTGTTTTTAATGTGGAAATAAGACTATTTTTAGAATTTACAAATTTTAAAAATATTACTAATCCCATTGTTTAAATTTTATGAATATATCAATATTTATACTTTAACTTATAAGTCAATAATAAATGAAGTATGATTATAATTACTGTAATTCTGTGCAGATAACCAGCAAAGGCATTATCCTGCAAAGAATACCCATTCACAAAAGCTTTGTTTAAAGTGTGTGTGAATTAAACAAATATCACCCTGTACTAAATTCTGTACTTTTGTTATCCGTATTAAATATGAAAGAATGTATTCCAATTAATACAATACTCAAATTTTTTGTGAGTACACTTAAATAACCTTATAGATATTTTTTAATACTTGATTGCTTCTTGTTCTTTGGAAGCAAGCACAAAATTTTATATTTAGGTAAAACAACTCACTATGTTTAATTCATTTTAAGGTTTGTGTTTTTCCAGTGTTAAAAGTTAACTTTTAAATTTTTATTTTTACTAGTTTTATTATCTTTTACCCTTTTGTTTTAAATACTTCATTATTCCAGTAGTCACAGGCAAATATCATCTTAGTTTAACAATTATAAAATAAGAACTGAAGAGGGGCAAATAGCCCAAAATGCATATCCATTCCACTGTACAAAAGAAAGTCTATTTTATTCACCAAATAGTGTTACTGTATGATAAGTTCTATTTAGCAATTTTACACTTGCTCCCAAAATAACCTTATAGCTATATACAGCCTCCAAATAAAAAGATAACAGAATATTTTAAAGATGTTTTTCAGGAATTCAGCAATTCATTTCTAATAGGAAATCATGTAAAAAAAATCTTTTAAATATGAAAAAAATATTGAAGCAAAGTCATTTATTAGATTTTGAAAATAAAAAAAAAAAAACTAAAAGATTATCAAAATTTATTAAATATGTCAAAGCTACTAAATTCTTTTTGAATTATTCATGTGAAGTTGCTATAGGGATTTTATTTGGATTGTATTTCCATTTTTAATTAGCTTTTTATTCTAAATAATATATATGTGTCATAGCTACCATCTGTGTGCACTGTGCAATCTTGCATAAAGGAGCCCTCAATATAACACTGGTTGCAATAGTAAAAATTATAAAGAACTATTTGAAGAGTTCAATGGATGAAGAAAGGCTAAATGATTTAGTATTACTTTCTATTGAAAATTTAGAAATGAGGAAAACTGGACTTGTCCAAGGCAACGATGGAAAATACAATTAAGTCTAGAAAAAAATTTAGGCAATGTTCATCACAAATTATACCTACAATGTACTAATGTGCTTTAATATATTTAAAATGAATAAATTACTTATTATATAATTTTATGTATATTAGACTGTGTTTTAGTTCTTCTCTAACTGCATTTAAATCAAATAAACAAACCCTTTGAGATGCAGTCTTTATATTTAAACTTCTAATGTTTTCAGCCTACTTTTTGATCTTTCTCAGGAAAAATTGAATATTATGATTTATAATGAACAAAACCTATTCTAGAATGCTTTTTAAAAAAAATTTTTCTTTTACACCTGATGTACACATCCGGTGTCAATAATTACAATCTTATGAATCAAGTGAATAGACAAAGATGGCACCCCTAAGCAATATTTAAAAGGAAATAGGTGCAGCAACAAACAAAAAGATAGTTTTTATGAGGAATCTCACAATATACCAGATGCTATATACAGAAAAGGAGTCTACAGATCAGAGCTTTATCCCTGGAATTTATAGAATACCAGTACAAGATGAAAGGCTTCAAAAAGAACTACACTACATTGGAGCCACAAGGAAGTTGCTAAAAGATAAGGTAAAAGAACATAAAAGTAACATACAAAATAAGTAGCTGGTCACCACACTAGCAACATATGTTATACCAGACTTGATTGAGGTTATGGTGGACTGGGAGTGAGCAGAAATAATCCAAAAAATCCAAGACAAGTGACACATTTGGTATGCAGAAGCATGGCACATACACAAAACCAACCAATAGGATCAAGTGATAAACTTGAGTCAAATAAAGTATAGGCTGCTTGGAAGGCATGTGTGAGGGCCAGGATTTAAGAATGCCGAGATTCGAATTTATTCATTTTCATCTACCGTTTTTTTTGTTTCTATTTATTTTATAAAAGTTAGGGTTAACTCAAAGAGAAAAACAACCGACAAATTTTCTCTTAAAAAATCGATCATAAAACTCCGTTCCCATGAAAATACTTCTTTGTAGAAGATGAGTTAACTGTTGTGTCATAATTTTGTCACTTAACCCACCATTGGTCAAAGGAGATCATCACCCTTTGACGTACATGGGGAAATCTCGAGAAGAGAGCCTCCACATAAAAGGCAAGTGCAATGATGACACGGGGGGAGAAAAAAAAGGTTATTTTGTACTGTGAGTGTGTCTGTGGATTTTCTGCCTCTCGTCGCCACCATCTTCGATAGACTTCCTATCTGAACTATTCTACAATTTTTGGACTTACAGCAAATCAACAAACTATTTCAACGAGCTCAGGATCCGAACTCAAAGATCATCAAGAAACCATCCTGTATGATTAGAGGTATTTATCCTACTTGTGATGATATGTAAGCTCTCTCTCGAGTATTTTCAAAATGTGGTTAGGGTTGCGACTTATCTATTGTCAGCTACCTTTCCCGAATGGAATTATCTATACGGAATGTTAACCTGGAGAGAGATGTGCTCTCAAACCCTTAATAATCTATAACCATGTAAATATGTTCTACAATAAACAGGTATATTGTAATGAAATTGGATTGGTGTGCCTTTCTTCCTACATTACCACCTCCATTCTGAACCGGAAATCATGAAAGAGATTGCTCCTGTTAAATTGCTCTCACTTAAAAGCGTATCTATCCACTGATAAATTGATAGATTGGTGTCAGATCCTGACGTGAAATAAGATCTAAAGATCCTTAACTATAACCCTTCCATTCAACTAAACCCATCCTTTGGACAAGAGAGACCAGACCTCAAGGGCTTGAGTCGATTAAGAGGTAGGAGAGTCAAGAACTCTTAATATCCTACCCAGATTAGTCTCACACATGCCTAATATGAAGATACCATTGTGCAATGGTAGAAAGCAATAGCATATAAGCTTGGCATTGTTGCTCAAGCAAAAAGTAACGATAGCAAAGATTAAGGTTATTACATTATAGACAATCTCACCCATTTTCACAGAATTAAGTCCCCATTTCCAGACAAATTAAAAAATTTTTAGATGGATCTAAAAATACATTTAATTTTCTGCAAAAATGCAAAAAAGCACACTGCACCTGTAAATCTTGCACATTGCTTTCTCTTAACACTTCCATTGTTAACAATGAAGTGTGTTAACAATGTTCCCCAACGGGGAAGTGTTGACAACCTCTCCCCCACGGGGGGAATTTCAAAAAAATCCCTTCTTAGTGTATGTTCTCATGACGTACCCTAACTATGTACCAAATTTCAACCAACTCTTAACTGTTTGGGCTCTGTGCTTATTATTATTTTTATCATTAACCCATCTTGATTATATATACATATATGGTTATATAGATAAATTTGTATGTTATTATTTGAATTGTAACCAGCTGTTTGTGTTTTGCTTCTATTTATTTGTCTATTTACTTGGTTCATAAGATGATTGTAATTATCAATACATGACATGTGCATTAGGTGTAAAAAAAATTTTGTTTAAATAGCATTCTAGAATAGGTTTCATTCGTTATAAATCATAATATTTGCTTTTTTTCTGAGGAAGGTCAATAAAGTAGACTGAAATGTTATAAGTTTAAATAAAAATACTTCATCTTAAAGGGTTTTTGTTGTTTATGTTACTGTTTTAGTTCTCTCAATGATCTTCAGAGTCAAGTTATTTTGTTTTTGTTACTTACAAATTTACTTACTAATCTATTTAATTTAAGATGTGCAAAACTTCACTTCCTGAGACTAAAATACACATTTAAATTTGAGATTATAAAAATGTGTGTTTTTGTTTATTCTGTTGTTATCAACTAAGACTTATTAACTTACTCATTATACCATAATAAAATAAACAACCCAAAGTTCAATGCATTGATACTAAACTATGCAATTGTCATGATTATTCAGGCTATTATTTTGCTATTATTAATAACTAATTATTAATAATAGCAAAATAATAGCCCAATTAATTATGGCAATCATTTGGTTTAATATAGTAAATTTAAAAATTTATTTTAAAATCAAAATCTTATTCTCTACACCATGAATCAGAAAATATAAATGTTTTACAATAAATATATTTAAAACAATAAGTTTTATAATCTTTTTATTAAATAAACTTAAACTAAAAAAATATTTACCTTTACATCTATCATGAATGGCTTTTATTTCACTGTGAGGAAGACTTTTGCTGTCAACTCCAACATATAATGCAAGTAGTTTCTCTGACTCCTTTAAATGAAATCCTTCTTTTAATTCAATTATACTTCTTTCACCAGAAATATTACCTAAAATGTCTCTAGCTCTTGTTGTGATAATTACTGGACAACCAATGTCAAAAACTTTAATAGCATCAGTGCACCAAACATCATCTAATATCAAAAGAATTTTTTTATTGTTTTCTCTGATATCGGATACTAATTGTTTTAAGTAATGAGTTGCTAATTCAATACTATCAGGATAATTACGATCATTTGGACTCAAACTCATGCATAATTTATGCATTTTCATTAGCAATGCACTTTCATTATCTAATTTACCAATTGGTAGCCAGAAAACACCACCATAAAAACACTCTTTAAACAGTTGTACATCTCTTATTGCTTCTGATGCAAGAACAGTCTTGCCACTTCCAAACATTCCCCAAATTACAATCCAACCACGCATTTTTTCAGAAATATTTCTAACAGCATTGCGTACATCATCCACAGCTTGACTTCTAGGAATAAAAAAGTTTATTGGGAATGGAACACCTCCTTTCAAGAACTTTTCTGCCAGTTCTCTATTTTCTTGTTCGACCTTACTTCTTATATAGTCTCGCATTGGTTTAGCTAACCAAGGATACGCATCTTCATGTTCTAGAGCATCTAAAAAACTGTTAAAGGCATCTGAACTTTTTAAAGGAAGAAGACTTAATAACAAAGATGTTTGCTTATTTGTTGATTCCTAGAAAGAAAAAAAAATGTTTAATTAATAAATTAATCTATTTAAAATGTTCCATAGGCTATAATTATAAAATAATACATATAAGAAATGACCAGCAAAATTCTCTCAATGAATGCAGTGAATTAACATATTTAAATGCTTTACAGTATCAAACTGAAACATTCATGAAATAGATTAACAGTAAATTGTAATAGCAATTGCAAAAATACCTAGTCATTCATTCATTCATTCATATTTTTTAATATCATAAAAGTGATAGTTCACCAATAAATTCCATAAATTTCAATAAATTTAATATAAAATTTCCAAAACATTCTAGAATGTCTTAGAAAGAAATTATGTAATCATCATTACAAATATTTAGAATGGTCATGTATCAATTACAGTATATGACTTGCCTACCCATTCCTATTTTTCCTCATAATCTTATGAGCTGTCTATTTCATAAAGATCAATGCATTCATTATTCTAGGTGATATTGGACCCACTCTTTCCCCCGAACTGCAATCTTGTCGGTCCACATCCAATCTCTTTACTAGCAGCCATAAAAGTAATAAACAAATGGTTGTAAAAAGTACAGATATGTACAGCCTAAAAGGCTTTTAGCCAAAAGACTATACTATAGATAACTTCTTAATACAATCTATGTTATATATAGACTACTCTACGATATATACTGCTGGATTTATATATAAGGTGCATTTCAAATTTATACGGACACGAAAAAATTAAAGTCAAACCCCAAATTTGCTGCATTAAGTGACAAATGTTTTATTAAAAATAACATGGATTTACATGTTTCCACACTGCAAAATAAGAATTTTAATCAAACATTAACATTTTGTCACTGAAAACAATATTTTTGAAAATTTTATACAAAAAAAACTGTTACATATTTATCTGGACAGGTTTCAAATTGCAAAGTTTTCTTGGTGGTTACATTGGCTATTAAGAAAACTTTGCAATTTGAAACCTGTCCAGATAAATATGTAACAGTTTTTTTGTACAAAATTTTCAAAATTATTATTTTCAGTGACAAAATGTTAATGTTTGATTAAAATTCTTATTTTGTAGTGTGGAAACATGTAAATCCATGTTATTTTTAATAAAACATTTGTCACTTAATACAGCAAATTTGGGTTTCACTTTAATTTTTTCATGTCCGTATAAATTTGAAACGCACCTTATATGTTCTTTTATTTATTGTACATGTTTGGCTTCTAAGAATGTAAAAGTTTAAAATTTAAAAGTGAAAATAATGTTCTAAATTTTGAATGCCTTATCAAATACGAATTTTTGTTATCTGTTAAGATTAAAAAATGTCTTTGAATTCACCTTGCTTAAAGATGCTTTTAAATGAGACCTGTGGTGATATGGGATTCTCTACATGAATATTTGTATTACTTTTTAAATATGATTTCAACACAATCTGTACAATCTATTAAAAATCATCATTATTTAGAACAGATGGTAAAAGAGGAATGGCATCAATCCAAGAAGCAGTGCTAATAACTTCATCAATGACAACTTCAACTTTTCCCAAATAAATTCCTGCCATGTTGGAAAATCTAAATAAAATCTTTATCTTTGAGTTTTTTCATTAAGTATGCCTTTGAATCTGATATACCAAGTCTTAATAAAGAATCATACGCTATATAATTATTTTGCATAAAAAAATGAATCTATCCATTCATTTTGAGATTTTGCATAGATAATTTGCTCTTTCAGAATGACCACCAGATATACTGCCATGAATATAATTATTTTTCAAATAATTGTCTATAATACTATAGAAAAGTCTTTCAGAAATTTTGTAATTGTTAATTAGATTGAGTGTTGTTGGTCTAGTAATAGCCCTTGAATTGAAATTCCTAATCTTTCATTAACTCTCTTCTAAAAACTCTCTGGAAAATCATATTGTTTAGTGAGTTCAGCTATAGTTATTTGACCAGTCTGCTGAAGCTTGTCATTAATTTCATTTGCTATACCATCTAAATATGTATTATCAATCAATTGTCCAAGTATAAGTTTCAATTCTGTTTCACTTTTTGCAAGTTCATTTGCTTTAGTTTCAATATGACTAAAATCAATATTTAATATACAAGATAATTCTACCAAGTTGAATTATTAGGCCACAGAGGAAGAATTATCTTTTATTTCTTTTAACAAGTGTTGAGGAGTAATATACTCTTTACCATCAGTTGTAAAAATAACATCAATTAATTTCAACTCTAAGATTTTTAACAATTTCAATGCAGTTCCTTTCAGATAACCTTTGTACAGTGCTTTGTAATTGAGCTCTTTGAAAATCTGCAGCAAATCTCTTCACCTCTTCCCACCCAGTCGCCATTTTCTCCTGACTCCTCAAATTGATAGATCTCGCACATCTTGCAAAATTTAGCTGTCTCACAACATAGATGGCCAATAAAAGCAATATCAGATACGTTCTTTGATCTTCCTTATTCCCATGTGTGCTCTGAAAACTGATTCGTGAACCAACTCCAAAACTTTTCTCCGTCTACTCTCAGGTTGAACCAACTGAAGGACTGTTTCTCCTAACACTATCTTTGTGGTGTATTAATCTGTCTAATAGAACGAAATTTCTTTTATTTTGCACTAGTTCTTTTTGGACTGTCTCCAGAGTATAACATTCCACTTGCTCTTCTCTCAGTTTTTGTGTTTGAGTTTCCAAGCATTGTGCTATCCTGATTGCTTTCATCTCTTACCTCTGTAGCAGCACTCCAACACACTCCTGTCTCCTATCCCAAGGAGTACATTTTCTATCTCCCTCATCACTTTCAATGACATACTCTTCTTCAATCTTGTGATTCTCTCCTGGTGCCTCTCTCTCTTCCGACATCCAGGTTCTGGCAACATCTGTGATAATTTTCATTTCCGTGCAAACTGAGCTTTTATTCTCTTCTTCCACCATTTTGTAAATATTTAGTGGTAAGAGTATGTCTATTTGAATAGCAGGGACCACTAATGTCTTCAGGACGCAAGACCGGAATTTGAGTGCCTGAATCTATGATAGCTTTGGTATCTCGCCAATCTATGTTTACTGTAATGTACTATAGGGGTTAAATGCTTGCAGCTGACTTCAAATGACTACTCGTTTCTTCCCCAAAGCATTCTGACCTTATGTTCACCACTATTGCACCATTGTTTCGTCTGCAATCTGTCAAGGGTGTTGATGTTGAGTGCAATTATTGTTTATGGATGAATTCCTTATCCTCTGCAAGCAGAATTTAGAAATATGTTGCAGTGATCTACAAATAAAACACTCCCTCTGTTTCATTTCCTGGCGATAGTTAAATCCATTTTTCCTAGTACCCTGAAGATCTGAAAAGCACTGCAATCTTTGAAGATCGTTATATGTTTCGATTAGGGATTTTCCTTTGCTTTTGAAATATAGATCACACTCTCATGCCATGTCAATAGGGTTAAACCAGCACTCCCCTGATGAACACTTATGTGGGTAGCCTGAGGTAGGACGAAGTCGTACCTCTTTTTGCTAGGCAACAGTTCAGTGAGAACTGCCCACTTGTCAGTGGATGGCTTGTTTATGGTTGTTCTATCCTGAAAAGTCGGGATTCTTTTGTCAGGTCGAGTGGAGGAGGTGAGAGGGGTCGTCGGTGAGACGTTGGTGATACTCGAATTAAAGACACCACTTAACAACAAAACAAGGATTTATTTAGACGATAACATAACTAACATAAATACATTGAGCTTAACTCGAGCGGACACGCGGAAGTGGAGGGAAACGTGCCGAGAGAGAGTTTACATTAATGGGTATCATACCTCTACGATGTGGGATCGGAGCGTCAAACGGTTTCTAACCGGATCGGACAAGTTGTCTTGAGGAACGGACGGCGGCGATGAGGATCATCACAGGTTTTCGGAGATCATTAACGGTGATGACGGACCGTGTTCACGGATGGCAACAACGGACCCCTTTTTCTCGTCATCGCCCCTCTTTTATCTCTTTCGTCACGTTACTGGGTTTCGCCAATCGCCAATTTTTAGGATAAGTTCCTCATGAATCATTTTTCGGGTTCCTGAGAGATAGGAAATGGCTCCGTGGGAAAGAAATGTGGATATCCTTTTTCGTAAAATTTCGAAAAATGAAGTTTTTCTTTGTTTAACTTTATTAAAGATATTTAATTTAATTGGAGCTCCTTAATTTTATTTTATTTTATTCAATCCGACCCTCACATTTATATGAGCCACTGTGTTGGCATCCAACATCTGAAATAATCTATCTAACATGATTAGTTGTTTCAAAGTTTCAAGGTCCTTCACTTTCTTCAACTCGCAATAATATTCCCAAGCAAACACTAGTCTCAATATAAATTGTATGTGAGTCTCATAAGCCTACGCATAGATCTTCAGAAATTTTCTAGGCAGCATTAAGCTGATGGTTCGTATTCTTGTAATACTAATTTCTTAACGCTCACGTAATCCCTTAACTTCTCTCCGGTTATATAAGTTAAAATGTTCACTGCCTTCTCCCCAGAATATTAATCAGTATCTCTGCCTTCATCTCCTTTGGAACATTCTTTGATTGGAACGCTCGCTCTATAGATAAGAAAAATAGATTCCAATTTTCTGACCTAGTTGGGACTGGCAACGTTAATGTTTTCACACTTAATTAATTTCTCAATACTCATATCAGGCACATCACTATGCAAGGTTAAGATTATTGTTACTCGCCCTGCTTTGATTATTAGCACTAATCCATGCTAGCTCCAACTCATGCTGACATTCCCTCTCTCTCAGCTTTTGCCTGCTTCCCTTCAGCTTGTAACCTTTCCTGTTCTTCTTTCTGTTTCCTTTCAGCAATGGTCGAGGTCAGAATTTCCAATACAAAATCCGAGTCATTAATAAAATCGTCACTTTTTATAAGTTTCCTTAACTCTGATACCTTCAGATTATCATCTATTGTGCCACAAAGCTCTTCTGCCACAATCCACAGACTTCCTTTTTAGCTCCCTTTACACTTAGCATTCCACCATAAAATTTTGTTTCCAACAATGTAAAGGAAAAAAATTTTCCTACCCTTTCTTCAATGTAAAACCTGTGTATTCCTCAAACATTTGTGCCCTGCCCCAACTATCCACTCAGCCCAGTTGTCAATGAACTTTTCTTATTCTGTATCATAATCACGCTTTTTATAAATCGAATCTTGTTGATTTGTCTTCAAAATCCTGTCAGCTGTGCCAATGTAGAGAATCCTAAATCACCACAAGTCTCATTTAAAATCATCTTTAAGCAAGCTGAATTCAAAGAATACCCTTTTTAATCTTATCAAATATGAACTTTTGTTATCTATTACAGCATTCAAATCTTGTTATCCATTAAGACATTTGAAATTTAGAACATTAAAATTTAAAAGTGAAAATAAAGAAATTTTTACATTCTTAGAAGCCAAACATATACAATAAATAAAAGAACATATATATATATATTTATTTATTTATTTATTTATTTATTTGAAAACTCCATACATAAAATTAATTTTTAGGAGGAGGGGTAACATTAATAACTTTGGTTAATAAATTATATTTATTCCATATAGACTCAAGTGAGTCATTAATGGAAAATAATCCATGAATTCTATCTGCTGGATTTTTACAAACAACATTATTAGTACAAAAAACATTATTAAGAAGTGTTGATAGACGCAAATGTTCGAAATCCTCGCAGTCAAACATGTAGTGATTTAAAGTCGCATTTNAGGAAGTGTTGATAGACGCAAATATTCAAAGTCCTCGCAGTCAAACATGTAGTGATTTAAAGTCGCATTTCCTTTCTTACAAAACGGACACATTTCCGATGAACGTAGATCAATACACAAGTGTTTCCATGTTAAACGAAACTTATTTAGACAAATCTGTATGATCATTTTTTTAACACTAAACGGTAACTGTTGATAATAAATGTAAAAACACCGATTGTTGTCTAATATTTCTGGGTATCATAAATGATACTTAGCCTTAAGAATCCTGTCCCTTTCTTCTCTCAAGAAAAGATTATCAAACTCTTGTAAAATTGTATTTGCATAATATTTCAAAACATCTGGAGAAAAATCTATTAAGGAGAGTGAGAAACCTATTCTATTAAATAGATTCTCCAGTTTAGTAAACCAACAGTATACGAACGATCTTTTCGATGAAAACTTCTTGAAAGTTAAATAAGCCTCACATTCCATGGATGATGGGTCAGATTATGTTTGTCAGAAAATTTAAGGTCAGTTTTACCAAGCGTTTCCAAGGAAACTCAAGGCCCAATTCTGATCTGATTGCATACGATGGGACCAACCTCTCAAGACCAAAAAAACGACGAAAGAACATCAGTTCTATAGAGTCGATATCTTCAAAGCAAAAAGGCCCCCAAAAGGGCAAACCATAAGACCAACTCGAAGTAAAAAGAGAGGCGGCAAGTTTCTTACATAAAGCCATATGGCTGTTTTTAACCTGTCTCAAGATGTCTATTATAACATTTATTTTGGAAAATGCTTTACCTTTAACGTAAGAAATGTAATTTTGGAAAGAGCCAGTAGCTGAGAGACGAATCCCCAAATATATAACTTCATTAACAATACTGACTCCTCTACCATTTAAGAAAAACTTATCAGCTTTCCTCAACCTTCCACCATGTCTAAAAATTATTATTTTCGACTTTGATAAATTAATGCGCAAACCCAAATTAGAGGAATAATTATATAACCTGTCCAGTTTTCTTTGTAGATAAATCGGGGTAGTGGATAACACCACTGTATCATCAGCAAATTGAAGTAAATGGACTTCGTAGTTTCCCAGAGAAATGGAATCTTTACTTAAATCATCAAAAACGTGTACCATGTCGTTAACATAACAAATAAACAATATCGGACTTAAGGAATCACCCTGTGGCAAACCCTTTTCCAATGAAAAGGCATCAGTAAATCCGGCACTAGTGGAAACCCTTGCTTTCAATCCTGAAAATAAACATTGAATAATGTCAATAAACTTATCTGAGATTCCAAGCATTTTTAATTTGGATAACAAAATCTTCAAAACAACACTGTCAAAAGCTTTCTCGTAGTCAATAAACGCTGCAAGTAAACGTTGTCTTTTCTTTGAAAGTTGTCTACAAATAATGGAGTGGAGAATCAGAATATTACTCAAAGTGCTCTTCCAAGGTTGGAAAGCAAATTGCACAGGTTGAATCAAATTCCTCTCTCTTAGCCAAATACCCAATCTATTTGCCAAAATAGAAGTAAATATCTTTCGAACTACAGGCAACAATGATATTGGTCGAAAGTTAGTGGGATCGTCTAGTGGACCTTTTTTATGGATAACTTTTATCTTTACTTCCAGCCACGGTTTCGAAATTCTAGCAGTGTCATAAACCCAATTAAATAACTTGGCCAAGTAAGGAACCAAAGTGTCCCTTGAGTAAACAATTAAAGATGGTGAAACATTATCCACCCCGGGAGCAGAACGAATCCGCATATTTTGAAGTGTTGTATTCACCTCTGAATCAGAAATAGGAAGATCTAAAAGAACATATATATAAATCCAGCAGTATATATCTTAGAGTAGCCTATATATAACAGATTATACTATAGATAACTTCTTAATACAGTCTTTTGGCTAAAAAGCCTTTTAGACTGTACAGTCGACCCTCCTATAACACTGTTGATTTTTCCGTTTTATATGAATTCCGTGTTGTATGAGTCACTTAGATTTTACAAATACGTGTGCTGGGCTGTGTACGGCTCATGTATTTGTAAAATCTAAGTGACTCATACAACATGGAATTCATATAAAACGGAAAAATCAACAGTGTTATGGGGGGGGGGGTCGACTGGTACTTCTCTACTGTTTACAACTTTTTGTTTATTACTTTTATGGCTGCTAGTAAAGAGATTGAATGTGGGGTGACAAGACCACACTGGGGGAGTGAGTCCAATATCACTACATGTTCTTTCAATCTTTTTCAATCACTCACAACTTCGTAATTTCTTTTGCAGCACCCCTACTTCTTTACATACTTTAATAATATATTGACCACATTCTCTCACTGATATGATACATTTTACTTGAAAAAAACTTACAGAAAACAAAAATGGTACAATCAAAAGACGACATTAGAAATATCAAAACAATCTAATAATAAAATATTTTATGCATAATAAAGCAAGAAACTTAAAATAAGCAGAAGGGATCCACAACTTATTTAAGTTCTGTTTATTAATAAAAGTGACAGGTTAAAATTAACATTCAAAACAAATATTAGAACAAACATTCAGGTTAACATTTTTGTGACACTCCTGCCAAAAACTTGTGCAGATGCTTATAACACAAAATACTGTTGTCTGAAAGCAATAAGATTTGAATATTTCATGACAAAATTCAACTCTCAATGCCTCATAGAACACCTAGTGTCCATCCACACTTCAATTAAAAATAACCAATGACACAAATTAATAATAATAAACATCTTTAATGTTTTCTTTTGTCTTATTATAGATTATCTTTTATTAATCTTTGTTATTTACAATTATTTAATCTATATATGTACTGGTGATTATGGAAATGGACTTTACTAAATACAAAATTACTAAATATGGTATAAATATGGGAATTACTGAATTACTTATGGAAAAGGGAATTACTAAATATGGAAAGTCAAAAATGGGAAGACATTGAATTTATTTCACAAACTAATCATAAAATTTTATAATTACATTAAAAAAACCTATTTTGCAAGAGTAAATATATTAGTTTTTTTTATGACCAAAAAAATATATATTTTTAATTTTTAAATTCATAAGTCAAAATATCTTCAAATGAAAAATGACTTAGGCTACTCTTTATATATATATATAGGATGGTGATTATGAAACTAATATAGTTTATATAAAGAATTATAAATTGCAATACAGGTGAAGAACATTGTGAAGCAATACAAAATGCCAGGGTTGTGCTGCTGAAGATAAATCAAGAACAGAAACCCTAGTAATTTTATATAAATTCATATAAAATTTCCATATGTAGCAGCAATATGGAAATATATAGTTTATCATTTAACTAAAATTTATATCTTACATGTGATCTTATATAATTATATGTTTAACTGTTCATTACTACTACATTATTCAAATATAAACACATTGAAATTAATTAATGTTAATCTAAGCTAGTATTTTAAATTAACATACATTATTATAATAATAAAACAAAGAAGATAATAACCTTATTTAAGATTTCATTATATTCGTCTACTGTAACAACATGTTTTTCTAGAAGAAAAGGAAGAATATATTTCGGGTTCAAATCTGCAATGATGTTTTCTCGTTCTTTTCTTAAACAATGTTTCTGTATTGCATCCATTTTTAACTGAAAATAAATGATTAAACTTTTAAAAAAACAGTACTTTAATAAGTTATGATTTTATCTAAAATATAGTGATAAATCTATTTGATATATTATATGTTTGTTATCATAAAAGAAATTAAAGATCTACTAAAATTAATCTATCAGTTTTGTCTATCCTAATAGACAAACTGACAGATAAATTTATATTGCTGATAAATTTATTTAAACAGATCTATCAAATCTATTTGAATATAAAATTGAAAACAATTTTTCATGTTAACTATTATGTCCTTAGTTAACTGCATTAATTTATATACAAAGTAGATATTTAATTTATATAATATATAGATATCTATCTTCTCTGTTGAAACAGTTCCTTTTTGTAGATTGTTTTTAAGACACCATGAAGGGTTGATATTAGACACTAGACATTTTCACTGTAAAGCACATAGGAGAATAAAGTGGACATGAAAAAGTCTAGTATCTAATATCAACACTTCATGGTGTCTTAAAACACAATATAGATATCTACCTGATAATTGCAACACAGCAAAATTAAAATTTTATTTTTACTAAACATTAAACAAACTTTTTCATGAGAATTCTCAACTCCTACATAAGATTTCATTACAATATTTCCATAATAATATACTGAACTTATGTGAGGTCCAGGACAGGTCTGAACTGTCACAAAATTCATGAAAATCAGTAATTTAGAGAAAAACTTAATTGTTTAAAAAGAAAAAAAATGTTTTTGGTCAAACACCCTTTGTTTATAATAAAACTGCAGCACAGAGTCATAAATCATTTCTGATTGAAGGGTCTAATACGGTTTTGAGTTTGACCTCTCCCGTCTTCCAGGTAGGAGTCCCATTACACTTAGTAACAAGTGACCAACCACTCGAAAAGTGCAATTGAGGGATATCAACCAATCAGAATGACTGATAAAAAGATGGAGGTTGATATAATCCCCAGCAATCAAGGACACATCGCACTCGGTTGACCAATGTGTTGGATACCAGACATACGATTTGTCGATGTGTCAATGTGTCAAAGAGAGAGAGTCTCCTCTGGATTATGCACTTTAAATTATGCACAGCCAAAATTGTGTGCATATTCCTCTGGACCAAGCATCACACCATTGTCATCTGCCCATAAACGCCATAATCTGACAAATTCTTCTCATCTGCCCTGGGGCTGCACACATCCTGCAGTGAGATCATTGTAAAGCATCAGTGATATGTAAGCATACTTCTGCCATAATAAACAGTTTTCAAATCTCGTTGATTCGTCTTTTGTTTGAGCGCTACGCAACTCTTGATTACTCCCCCCACACTATTGTTCAGCTTACATGTTCAGACGTGCAGGAATCAACACATTCCTACAATTTATTTTGTGTTATTTATTTCTGTGTTTGTTATATCTATGGAGACTTGAGAGACTATGTGGTGATTTCTTGTAACCGTGAACGAATCAAAAGGCGAGACAAGATTAACGAGAACATTTATTAGCTTACATACATCCGACTTGGATTTTACATGAATTGTGAAATTATACCCCGACTTGTAAAACACTTGTCATCTCTGTCTCTGCTATCATCACCCACACGCAGATGATCCTAGCCTTTCTGATGTGAGATAAACCAATTCCTTCCCAAAAGTGAGCTTAAAATCCCACTTCTCTGACACCAGTGTAAGTCCCTGATCTCCATCAGGTTGGCTAACTTACACTTATGTTAACTTACTATATCATAATTTCCTACATATAACCCATAGGTTATCTGTATTTTAAAAGTAAATTTGAAAGTAGATGCAGATTACATATCCTAGAAGTTATTGTAGGTTATACATAGGAAATTACAATACAGTAGAGCGTCGATTATCCGAATCAATTGGGGACTGGGGTTGTTTGGAAGATCAATGTTTCAGATAACCGATTATGTACGAAAAAATATATTAATTTATCCCATCTTGACGTTTTTCTCCGTTGCAAGTCGCTTCACATTGAATTTTCGTCGATGTTAAGCCTAACGAAGACTATTGTATCGTTAAAAATTACTTTTTTATTTTGTATAAACAAAATAAATATATTGAAAAATATAAAAACAATAAAAAATTATACTTCAGAAGTTAATTTAGTATCAAAAACGTAAAATATTTGAGTAGCCCGAGACATAGCCAAAGATTACAGCGCCACAGCACTGGCAAAAATTTAAATTTGCTGACTGGAATTCTTTCGGATGATTGACTTTCGGATAATCGATGCTCTACTGTATATTAAAATACAATGGATCTTTGCTTTACAATATTAATCCGTTGCAGAGAGTCTATTTTAATCACAGAAATATTGTAATGTTGCATTGTTTTTTGATAATTCATTCTAATACCTTTAAAGAAAACTTATTTCTTTGTGAAAATTACTATTATATATAGAAATTCTTATACAGATATAAACATTCATTAACCCAATTTTTAGATTAATTCCAAACAATTACCAAATTACATCAGGCTACAACTGGTAACATATCTGTACAGCAAGTGAGAGCTGCAGATTCAAGTCCTGCTCTAGGCTGATTCTTTTCTCCCAGAACCTTCTAAATTAATTATTAAATTTATTAAAAGATGACATCTAATACCTACATCTAGACCAAATTATTTGCTATTTAATTATTAAATAGTAGCATTATTATAATCACAATGTAATCTGGCAGTTGGTTGGCATTTGAAATTCTTATTTTAAAAGTAACTCAAAATTATTTTCACAAAGTAAAATGATTAAACACACTTAAAAACATTTGACATGTTTCATTCATTTTCAAGAGACAAAAATTTCTACATAATCAAAAAATTTCTAAAATATCCTATGAGGAATTCTCTAATATTATACAAATGAAACATCAGCAGAAATTTAAATAAATATTTAAAAATATACTTAAATCAAAATTAAATACACAAATTATTAACAAATGTAAAAATTAAAACATTAAGATGATAAGTACAATTTTTCCATTGTCTTGATCTGTTAAAAAACAAAAGTGGGCTTGTTTCTTTAATAGTTCCAAATATCTGTTTACTAAACAAAAATAAAAACATTTATTAAAATACTATCAACTTTTAACCTAAATTGACTATTGTTTTAACATATTTAACTGATATATTAATATTTTAAATTGATGTATTAATTGTTTTAATAAATTACAATTTGGTGCATTTTTATTCAATTGCTTAAATTCTACTGAAGTTACTTTCTACACAAAAATAAATAGCCTTAACAGAAGGTTATTAATTCATCTACTATCAAATAGAAAATATTTTTATTGTAAACAGATATTTGTCCTTGAAGATGAGTGAATAAACTCAAAAATATTTAGGAACTATATTCTGGATAATTTTTATTTTAAGAAAATTTTATGGATTAAGGTTACAGGTAATTAATCTATCATTTATTTTAATGATATTCTGAAAAAGTAGATTAAAATGGCAAATACTCTTCTAAATTACTTTTTTAACTAGCTAAATGGTAAAGAAATTTTCATATTTAGATACTTGAGTTAATTTGGATACTCATATCCAAACCGCTCAGATAGTAAGGCTACATATCCGAATATTACATGCATATTTTTTTTTAATCGATTTTTCAACCAACCCTATTTCAACAAAAACTTTAAATCAGTTTCTTTAACAATAAAATAATTTGAGAAACCATTTTGCTTGACATTGTTTCCTAATCCTAATCTTATCTTCAAACTGTCACTACAGGTTATTCATAAGTGTTATCAGTGATATTACTCATTACAAACAAAAGATTATTATTTTATTATATTCTTTGTTTGTAATGAGTAATATAATAAAAATATAATAAAATAACCTCTTGTACAAACTAATTCTATTTATAAATTGTTTGCGTTATATTCATTAACTGTCATCAGTTAAATAATATAAATTGTAATCATTATTTCGTATATGTATTAATTGCAAATAAATCCAATTAAATCATTAATTTTAAATTTGTCTTAATGCTGATAAATATATAATAAAATCATAGCTATTTTTGTACTAATTGTTTGATTGCACAAATCAACATAAAAATAATGAAATTTAACTTAACTATAGCATTTTATAAATATTAATTATTCTATACCAACGTTTTTTATCCTAAAAGTTATTTCTTACTTATGTACAACAAAAACATGCTTTTGTTGTACATAAGTAAGAATTCTAAGGACTATCAAAGATTGACATTGATATCTTCTATTCTATCTCTCTTTCTTCTCCAAAATGTACATTTAACCCGTTAAGCCCATAACCCTTAAGCCCATAACCATAATAATTAATTAAAGATATAGAAAAAAAAATAAAATAAAAGATACCAGTGTGTCAACCTATTACCTGTACTGTGATAGTCCTTTAAATATACCACATTGTTATTGTATGTAAGTAATAAATTAAACATTCTATTTCTAAAATTGGAAACAGAATTTAAAAAAATGAAAGATTATAAACTTTACAGGTAAGTTTAAGAATTTCAATACAGCACTAACATCTAAAAGGTTTCCAATAATGATGACTTTTGTTCATTTAATTTATTGCTACAAATGCATTTTGGAACAATGTATATTTTCATTCCCTCTTCAGTGTTCATTAAGTGAAAAAAAAAATAACTGACAATTTTTGAATTTAAATACATCCAGATCGTAAACTTCAAAAACTTGTTAAAAGACCACTCCCCTATCCGTAATATTAAACAAACAATTTTAAACATTACTATTTCACACCATTAAAATGTTACTTTATTTGTTTGAAATATCCATATAACATTTTACTAACTTATTACACAATGATACATCTTTACTTGTTTTTTAACATTACCACTTTTGGATGTATTTAAATTCAAAAATTGATTAAACTAATTTTTTAACTTAATGAACACTGAAGAGGAAATGAAAATATATATCATTCCAAAATGCATTTGTAGCAATAAATTAACAAATACATTAGAAACCTCTGGGTGTTGGAAGTATCATATTGAAATTCTCAAACTTACTTGTAAAGTTTACAGAGAAAAAAAGAAAGACTTCGGCACCCCTTATCCATATAATAGTTTAAAATTCTTAAATTTAAGATTACAGTAATACCCCGAACTTACGCGATAGGTGGGACCGAGCAATAACCACGTAAATCGAATTTGCATAAGTCGGGGTATAATTTCACAATTCATGTAAAATCCAAGTCGGATGTATGTAAGCTAATAAATGTTCTTGTTAATCTTATCTCGCCTTTTGATTCGCTCACGATTACAAGAAATTACCACAGAGTCTCTCAAGTCTCCATAGATATAACAAACACAGAAATAAATAACAAAATAAATTGTAGGTATGTGTTGATTCCTGCACGTCCGAACATGTAAGCTGAATAATAGTGTGGGGGGGAGTAATCAAGTGTTGTGTAGCGCTCAAACAAAAGACGAATCAACGAGATTTGAAAATTGTGTAACTCCGGGTTCGTGTAAGTCGGGGTATTACTGTAGTTTTAAACAGCATCAGTTTGATGCATAGGATACAGTGGCATGCTGTCATTGGAAGTAGTGGATGCACCGCTTCTCTTGTATTTTCTAAAAAATAAATACATATTAATTTTAATTATATGAAAATAATTGCACAATATTTTATTATAACCGCATTATGTATCTTATTACAAATTTCTATACTACACATGAAAAAAAAAAATAAGATTGCTATTGTATATTCAAATATTAGTGGCAGAGTGGAAGCGCTATATTGTCAGCATCCAAAAACCCAGATTCGCGCATGCGCTTTACAGAGCACCAACCTCACCCGGTTTAGCCGGTGGAAGCCTACGACCTTGGGTGAAAGCTGCACACATATAAAGATTCCAATTCTATCAAGGACCGGTTCTGGGCTGTTAGCCGCCTGCCCACTAGATATTTCGATTACGTGAATAACGAGTAGATTTATAACTTAACCCAACCGATAAGAATTTACTGGTATGTTTTTACGATAGTTCTGTATAGTTGACAGGAGTTTAAAAAAATCCATTAAAATATTTGATATTTTTATTCCGCTCTCCGATTTTATATTACTCACGGATTTTGATGTTAAACCAGTGATATTACGATTTCATATATCCCATCTTTAAGTGGATATAGAAAAAAAACATACAATTCTTGTATAATGTTAAAAAATTAACTGTTACTTTGACAGCATCATTTACAACTAAATTTAATGAATGAGAGAGATGCACAAGGTACAGAAAAAGCTCTAGAATTTATTTTCCTTAAATTTACGATTTACGTATCCGTTGTCATAAAAATTAGTCTTTCCACTTTTTTCCCAAGACTACAAGTATTGTAGTTAAGTAGAAATAGTTAAATAATTAAGCAATTAGGGAATTGAAGACAAAAACAAAACCCTGATGAAAGAGCCAAAATTTTATTTAAACAAAAGCTTAACTGAACCAATCTCTAGCAGAGTACAGTGGGGACTGATTTCTTCGAAATATTAGATGTACTAATGACAGAAATTTTTCCACTTCAACGACAGTGACTGAAAAGTTGTAAATTTTGGAAATTTTCATGGACAACACCTGGTCCTAAAACGAATTACTTAGAAAACAAATGACAGACAATCTATTAAGTTTAACATATTTAGATTTTTACAGCTATGGTGAAAAACATTTAAAATCTACAACAGCCCTGCTGCGTCCTTTGAAGTATACTAGTGATGTGACAAAAGAGGCATTTGACATTAACCGGTATCGGCACCCTCGGGATTTGGCATGCATGCACTGCACACCTACCAAGATCGTCTGATTCTACTCATAGGGAGCTATTTGACTAAGTGATTAAGATTTAAAGAGTAAACAATATTTTATGTTATTTTTTATGTACGTTTCTTTATAAAGCTATATTTAATTATAATTTTCTTTAAAAGTATATTCATACAATTGAAGAATATTTTGTACCAGGAATGGATATCCACCACACTTTATTTCACCAAGTAAGTTTTTATAATTTTATTTTTAATTTTAGCCATTATATCGTGGCTAGCGATTCAAATGTAATTGCAATATTGAAAATTTTAAAAAAGTTTTGGCTCGAGATCATATGATGAAAAAGAAAGCATTATTAAAAGAGAAAGGCCAATGCCTAAGTTAAATATAAACACTTCAATAAAAAATTTGTTTGATATTTTCACGATAAAATGCCTCTGTAGATGCATAAAAATGCAAAAATTGTTTTGTTGGCTTGCCTACTATTTTCAAATGAAATTAAGTGTGTGGAATAAGAATGGCTTTGACAATTTAGCTGGCAAAAGACATGAAAAATTGTCGATTCTTTCGTATTTGAAGCAATTTGGAAATCAAAGCGAAATAGAATTTAACATTAGTGAATAATATAAAATAAATATTGAAAATTATAACAAGGTTAGCTATTAGCTATTTTGATAAATAGCTAATAGATGTATTTTATCTAAATTAAAGATGTTATATGTTTTTATCAAAGCAAGAATTGGCATTTAGATGTCATAGGGTCCACGTTACATAACACACAAACATATGCACACAGAAATATAAAGTTCATTTTTGTGATCAAGGTCCTGGCTCTTCTGAAATTCTTGACTTCTTTTGCAATGAAGTCATCTAGTGTCATTTGTCACTTTCTTTTTTTCTCTCCTCAAGCAAACGTCAGTAGCAGGAGATGGCATCCAAAACGCCTCATTTTGCTTTTGCACTCCTTTCAAAATCTGAATCATTCACAAT